GTATAATTCTTAATACATGATTTTCACAGCTTCTTATTATACGTCTTAAACTTTCGGCAGAGATCTTGCGGTTCATACAACCTTAATTCCATTTACTGCATCGATACCTCAAACTGTCGTTCTTTGCTTTTGGTTGACCAGGACGAGGAACTTCTTTGGCATTGACCAGATGTCTTGCTCCCCAATTGCATTGAACGAACCGCCACGCGCCGGCCACGTAAACCGCGTTCCAACTGTTCCGAAATCGATTGTCCTCGAAGCATACGCCCGGTTGATAGCCCGCCGATTTACTGTAACCCTTTATGACCACACAATGCAGTCCCGCGTAGCTGTAAAAACAGTGTGACGTGTATCGATCTCCGGCATGAAACATTCGAGTTCCCATCAGACTATGAAACGTCACGAGTGACGAACTGTTGTTCAAGCACCATTTGCCCGATTCTAACGTGCCAGCTAGGTGTTAAATCATTATTTTAGGCGTGTCGCGAGAGAAATGGAAGTCGGTTTGCCTACCTGCATAATCGTTTGAACAGAACGTGGTAACTCTCGGTCCCGTGTTTTATGCCCCTCAACAAGCCCATAGGCGTGTCCCCGCGCAGATTCTCGTCGAACTGCATCGTGTTCAAATTCTTCACGGTGATCCACCGGAATATCGTCCTAGCTTTCTCTATGTCCGATCCGCATCTGCTCACCAACTGCCGCACCAAATCTGTGAACGTTTTCTGATCCTCCTGTGCCACCTGATTTATAAAAAACAGAAAAAAATAATGCTTTTGGGTAACGTCTTCCTGAGGCTCGAATCTGTATCGCATGAAATCTGTAACAATTCCACATAACGTAGAGAACTGATACAGGGTTCCCTTTGACCCTCCCTAATCGTTCGGCGAATCGTTTCAGAGTGAACGAAGCTCGTAAATCGATTGCGAAGTCTAACTGTGTAGCTGATAGGAGATATCGCGTCAGGATATATATGAAAATATCGTCGACGATTTCACGGCTGGGTGGAACCTGTTTAAAATTCTGCGGCCGTGACAACCACCCCACGAGCCACGACACGACCGTGTTTCGTCGTCGATGCTGCGTTTACGACGGGATAGACTGTTAAGGGACCCCGACTTGGGGAGAGGGAAGGGCTTACCGAGATAGCTATCTGATCCATGTCAGCAAACTCGAGAGGATCATTGTAGATATGATACTTGGCGAGGGCCGGGGGTTGCGGGGGTGGCGCGCGCGACGGATAAGGCATAGGCGGCGCTTCCTGGGCATAACCGTCCCCTTCGTCGAGATACAAGCTCTCCTGGCGCATATACTCGCTCCTCGCCTCGTTGATCAGCTCCAACATCTCCGAGCTCTGTTTCTCCACCAACGCGGCGGTAGCCGCCCTAGAAATTTGATCAAGAGTTATGCACGTGTGAGCCGAAATTTTCACCCTTAAGTCTCGAGAACTTCGTGACTGGTTTTAAATAAATAACTCGATTCAGCGGAACTTCGTCCCGTATAGGTGAACTGGATCGCAGAAGATGTGGGATCGACGGTGCCGCGCGTTGCCGAGGGACAGATGAAACTAGCCCGTTACGAAATGTAATCGACGACACGCAAATTACGACACGTAAAAACCGCGTGAAAGTAATTTGTACAAGTTGTACGATCAGAAAAACATGCTCGTCTCTCTTCGTTATACCACCACCTGCTTTCTATCATCTGAACAGTACATACTTGTTACGACTGTCGAGAATCGCTCCGTTGTAACTCTCTCGTAGGTCGCGCGGAAATGGACACAAGCTTTTCCCTCCGAATGGAAAGCAAACGAGCAAGCCGAGTTAAAAGAGTTAACCGCGGGTCAAGATGGTCGTTCCCTCTTCGCGATTTCACACGGCGCAGGGTAATCAGAACGACGCGGTATGGAATCAGTTTAATTAGGTAACGAGTACCGTTCGTGTTCCAGCATTTTGCGCGTGAGACTCTCCTTCTTCTTATCCCTGCGCAGAGTCATGTTCTTCTCCAGATCCTCCTTCTCCTGTTGAAATTGCTGTGTACGTGCTCTTCCGCCTTTTTCGCGTTCCCATCTCGCCGACAGCTGTTCCAGCTCCTTCTCCCATTCGTCCTGCCCGATAAAGAAACCCCGAGTTGTTAATCCCTCCACTGCGACGCTGATTACCGCGGATTTGATTAAACACCAAAGAGGATGAGTCGCGTTACCCGAAATTCCTCGCGAATCCGTCTGTCTTCCTCCTCGCGATGGTGAGCGAACTTGCGGTACAGGTCGTCCTCCTCCTTACGATGCTTCATCTCGAGACGCGTCTGCTCATCTCGGTCCTGTTGATAATTACAACAAAAATTGATCATCATCAAGGATACTCTTTCTCTCGATCGTAAAAACCGTGGTAATCATTTTTCTCCCCTTTTACGCCGCGAGTACATCAATCTCGGATGATTTAAAAACATAACTCGACCGATCGAGAACGAGTTTCACTCGGAGACGAGTTTCCGCGATTAAACCTCCGTTCTCTACCCTAGAAGACGCGAAGCAATCGCCTAAACGTCCCATAGACAGCGACGCTCGTCCAGTTTTTGTCGGATTTACTTTCACGCGTCGCGTTTCTGCTTTCTTTCTGTAGAGATTCGCGCCGTCGCGTCGGGAACGATTCACGCTGTTCTCGTTGAGGCGATTATCGAGAGGAAGAGAGAGGGAGAGAGAGAGAAAAAGAGAGAGAGGTTCCGTGGACAGATTCGTTCTCACGATCTCGTCTTGTTTGAACAGACGAAACCGAAGGACGAACTAGACACGCCATGAGAGGTTGAAAAAGGGTCTCCACGGATTTGGCGTCGCGTTGCGTAACCGATTTCCTCTTCACGTAGCTGGTCGCAGTGTTTCGAACTCCGAGAAGCCCACGCTACGGTTACGTCACCGCAACGTTACGTTACCGCGTGAAGTAACCGCGAATAAGGACAATGTTAGGGAACATTGACATTTTCATCGTTTTTAGAAATATTCCATGAGCAATTTTATACGGACGATCGATAGATACCGTGTATTATATGTATACTGCAATTAAGAAACTGAAATCTCTTTGGAAAGTTTCAGAAAATATATATCCAACACTGTACTGTGGAGAAAACAATTTCTAGCGACTCGGTTGTAGCTATTTAGCGATCAATGGTCATCGAACGTTGTTTGCTCTGCGGGTCTCTGATAAAAATCTCGAGGCGACGAGAAAGCGCGCTAATACGATTAATTCGGTCAATCTGTCGCCGGCGTCATTGAGTAATTTCCTTTGCCTGTTTCACCGCGCTCGACCAGTTAACTAACATTCCACGTCATTGAGTTCTTTGACTTTCGTTCAGGTAATAATCGTTCATTATCATTTGTCTAAAAGTTCGATGGTCAGGTACTAATAGAATACATTTTCCAAGTTGGAAATTGTTTCAGAATTACATTATTATAATTACGCGCATCTGGTTTTACAATTAATTAGACATTCCACGAACTTCGCTCTCCTAAGAGGCTTTTAACTCTCATTGTTCTCTATTCAATATCGAGACTTTTATCCAGTAGAAAAGCCAGCGTGTCTTGCGTTGTAAAAGAGATCGCTAATGAGAGTAACTCCAACAATCTGTTTACCAACATCGTTAAAAAAAAGAGTAATTTCCTCTCGTCTACGTTAGCGGTTAACCAAGATTCCGTCACGATAGAACCTCCCAGCCTCTGTTTGCTCTTCCCTCGAGGAGACAGGCTGGTGCGTGTGATTCGAATGGACGCGGCGCGACCGAACGGTCGTCAATTTTTACAGAAAGTCGTCCTCCAGGTGGATTTTTATCGAATCGCTCAAAAAACAGTGATATCGGTAAAAGTTTGCGCTGGCTACCCATTCAATTTCAAGGAAATCCGTGCCGTCCCCACACCATCTGTTTAATCCCTTCATCCGTAAACAGAAGATTTGTATCAGTCCTCTCTGTGATTAAACTCAAACATAGTTCCGCAGAATCGTGTCTCGCCTTTTCTACCGCGAGCTTAACGAACGTTTTCTCTTTTACGTACGGCTAGGCTTTTTCTTATAAAAATTAATGAGAGTCGTCCGAACGGTCTATACCGAGCCATTTTAAGATAGTATGAGCCGTAAGATCTCTGCCACAAGTTTAAGACATGTAATAAAAGCTGTGTATAATATTTGAGGCAATGAACTTTTAGAGAAAATGATAATTACAGACGAGTAAGGTTTATAATATTGTTCCACCTGTTTTTCTCTGTCATAAGAAATTTCCAAAACATAATTTCTAATATTCTGACACATAGTTTTGGCATTTTTTGATTAAAATAAAATATTTATAAGTATCATAAAAATTATTTCATCTTAAAACGTGTGCCAATACATTTTTGAGTCATTATAATATTCATGAGGAATTAAAACGATTAATTCAATACATATATAAAAATCTGTCAAAGAAAGTGCAATTGATTGAAATCACAAGAAATTCAAATTGTATGGACCAAGATTGAAAAGAATATGCTGTTTTTAAGAATTTATGAATACTTTCTACGCCCACTACATCTAAAGATTATTTTATTCATTCGAACGAAACGAATCTGCAGAAGGCAGAACAAGTCCGGCGTACGATTGACCGCGACAACGATTCCAATTAACATCCGTGGGTAGTTTGTTCGCGATGGCGCGTGAGAGGCGAAGCCACAATAGCTCTTTAAAACAGGATACGCGCGTACACACGGCTCGCGGCCGAGGAACGATTCTCTAATTAAGCATCAACCAGCAGCGAGTACCGCAAGCGGAAGCGATTCTGGGTCCACACACGAGGTTTCCGTGTGCCCGGGAAAACGAGGTAGAGAAACACGCAGCGAGGACGTTCGCCGCATTGTTCTCGATCGCTCCGGAAGCGGGTCGCTCGCCTGAAGAAAGTTGAGACGCCGCGGAACCTTGAAACAGGCGGAGAATCATCGGACTCGAAGGCTGCACCGGCAGCTTCTTCGACGTCCGATTTTTGCGATCGTTTACGCTTCACGGTGCCGCGACCGTGCGCGCAATTTCTTGCGACCGAACGATCGGCCTCGAAACTGTCCGCTCGAATCGATCCTCGTCGAACGACGTGGCCATTCGCGAGATTCATGATTCCGCGAACCGTAGAAATCCGCCGTTCCTCATCGATTGGCTGCGTAAAGGGAAAACGTCGACGAGAGTTTACGAGCGAGTCGGAAAACGCGTGGGTAGATCTCGAGCGAGCATAGAAAGTACGCTTCGCTCTAACACTGATTGTGAGTTAAACTAACGGTCCGGCGTCAGTTATCATCGGTTATGATAAGATAGGGGGTGTTCCTCGCATTAAACTTAGATTATAAGCTTAACCCTTAACGGTCTCTTAGCTTCTTAGCTCAATTTCTCTACACTGTTTCTACAAATGGCACACCGCATTAGGGATTTACAAACAAGTTATAAATTATCTTCCTTGAATTATACGAAATCACGTTTTTGGTAGTGCGTAAAGGTATGAGATGAGTCTCAGGAATCGATTAACGCAGACTGAATTAACGCGGAACAGATTGACCATGGGTTATGCCCATATATTTCCGTAACTCGTTAAAGGAACGCAAAGGTGTGCGTGTTGCCCACGCCGAGCCACACTCGTTTCGCAACACCGCAGCCAGGCTGACATTCACGAAATAACATATGTATAGAGGCGTTTTGCTGTGGATGTGCACGCGAAAGCGGATTGAGAGAAAACGCGTTGCCCGATAGTAGAGCGACTAGCGGCTCGGCCTTCTTCTTTTGCTTCTTCTTTCTACGCCGTTGCGATGGGAAAACCTGGCAATCTCATTTTCATGTAGGGCCCGTCCGTCCCCGGCCGCGGTTCACATTCCTCGCTTGTCAAGCGATTCGCGCATGAAAGTCACGGCCGGCGGGCGGCGCGGCTGCCGGGACACGGAATGCCGGCACCCCGGACCGCATTCCACGCGCCGGCCAATCGGAAATTCGGGGCTTCCGACGATTTTCCTGTTTAAAAGGGTCTCACAGTCTAATCGACTAATCGTCGTACCCGCTCTATTCCTTGCTCGAGAATTTTCACGCGTCGCTGAACCGAAATATGTGATTTTATTGTGCCAAAGCAAGGTGACTATAATTCACATTCCCGAGAACCGGATGAACCGCGACCGATCGATGTATACAGTTATGCTGGTTTAGACGAATCAGTTATCTCGATTAATAATTAGAATTCGTTATCTCCTGGATTCCGTTAAAAATTCTATTTTCTATATTAACGTTCTACTCTAATTAATTAATTATTAGTTAATTGAACGACGATTAGATGTAAATTAGTTATACACTAATTTATGTATTGAATCTAAAAGTCTAATTGATGTGTACTTTAATTGATCGCGTAATCAGGCCGTCACTAAATATTATTGTATACATTATCCAAACGGTCATTACAAAACAATTAGCTGGAAATATTATCAAAGTAGAGAACGTATCTTTATTTGAAATGGAATAAATTCTTCTTTGGTGTTTCTATGTGCATGGCACAGTGGGTTTTCACATGTTGACTTAAGTTTGTATGAAACATCTTTGCCAAACGTTTAAGAAATATTTTCGATATTTCAGGCAATGAACTTTGAGGAAAAATTATATTTAGAGAGAAGTAAGATTTGTGAAATTATTCAACGTGATTTTTTAAGTCACAGCAAATTTTTAACGTGTAATTTTTAATATACTAATGTACTATGTACTATGTATAATTTGGACACTTTTTGGTAAGATTTTACATAACATGCAAATGTTATGCTTTCTACTTTCGGTATTTTTTATTTTCTTCTTATCTTTAATAATATCCTCGAAATTGATATTAGTTCAACCTTAAAACATTCTTGAAACGGGTTTTAACTCCTTTGACAGCATCGCAAAATTCCTAAAATATTGTTCAATTACTGCTCGGTTATTAATGTAATACCTAATAATAACTGGTTAAAAAATGAATGCTTTGTCATTGGTTTTATTTCAGGACTCGTACAACCTGAACGCAAGTTATCGCCATTTTTGCTAATCGAGAGGCACAGTAACGTGATCGATCGACCGGGAAGGCAGGAACAATCTCCGTACGCGGGAATCCCATTCGAGAGCCAAGGAACCCGCGGCGCGAGAGGTGCAACGAAATAATAATGTACCAATAAAACGACGGCGATGTAAGACGAGGCAGGTAATTAAGCCGCGTAATTACGCAGCGAAGACCGCTTCGAAATAGGAGGGCAGGCCCGCCGCCTAATATGGCGGTGACCGTGACGAATGATTTCACCGGATTCACTGCTATGCGCGAATGACTCACCAGATAATAATCGATGGGCTTCTCGCGTGCCTTGCTGTAGCCCTTCTGAAGCTCCGTCTGCTTAAGGGCATGTGCGATGTGAAGCGCGCTCGCGTCGAATCTCCCGTATTGGTATCCGCTCCCGTCCCCGGAATAATTGTGGTTGTAAGGCGAGGTCGCGCCTCCACCGCCGCCGCCGCCGCCGCCGCCTGAGTTCCCATGAAGATCGCGCTGCGACGAATTCGTTGCCGGCGGCGAACCGTGTCCGTTTAGGTGCCTGGCACAATTAGGCGAGTCTACATTATCGTAACTGCAACAAAATTATGCAACGGGTCTTCAGGGGCCTGGGGTTCGCAGCTAATGTCATTGATTCCAAGAACAATCGAGTTCCAACTCCCCCTCGCGAAACGCATTCGCTGATTCTGATCAAACTAACGCTTCATTCAATAGAACGTGATTTAATTCAGTGTTGCTGGCTCTCACTGTATTAATGCTAACGTTCAATGCATTGCGAGAGACCGCAAGAGTACGAGAAGCATAAACAGGATCGGTTCTTAACTATGGCCAAGCGCGGAGATAATAATAAGCCGAGCGTTATGGTTATATTTTCCGCGCGCGTAACGTTCGCTTCCGGTATTTAGCATGCAAATGCAACGAGCCCGCGGTACGGAAAACTGGGTCGGCATTTTTAACGGGGCCTTGGCAATGTTTCCGTGCCGATTCAGCCGTGTTCCTTGCGCCGAGCATCCTAGAGCTAATTGCCGAAGCCTGATTCATCGAGTAACGACAGACGAACAGAGGATCCCATCGCATCGCATCGCCTCGTGTACGCCGCATCGTTTATGAGAAACCCGGAGAGTCGCGGTTAAATGAATGTGTTACACCTCTCGCGCTCGTTCTTTCCTCCGGGGTTCATTCACTTGCGACGCGATGCCTCCGCTTCTTCTTCTTCTTCTTCTTCCGTCTCGTTCCTGTGCCGCAGCGTGCACGCGTGCGCTCCTTATGTCAGCCGGAGGCGGCTCGCGAAACACGGCTGCAAGAAATTCTTCCATCGGACGGACGCGTGTAAACCGCGCGCGCGCGCGCTTCTTGCCTCGCTTTTGCTCGAAGAAAACGATTCGAACAATAACGAGTGAAATAATGTTTATAATTTTGCATTTATTATAATAATAACGTTCATCTAACGTAGGAGTAAAAATCTGTTTCTGAAAAAAATACTGTGGTTCAAAACTGTAATAGTATGCACTTCAAAAATTGTTTAATAGTAGGAGATCTGGACAGTCCTTAAGTATTCATTTAATCGATAGATCGACGCGAATCACCACGGCGAGCTCGTTACTCGAAGGAAATCGGGTCAGGCATTGACATTCCGGCCGAGCAAGTGCGCTTCTCGCACAATCGCGGTTTCACACTTTGTTCGAGACCTGCTCAGAATTAAGGCCAATGTGGCTATGCGTTATGTAACGAAGACGAACCTGATGAACCAAATGTCTTTAGTCGACGCGTATTCACAGTGTCTGGATGAACGATTGTCATTTAAGGATGTATAGGCTATATACTTAAATAATGCTAACATATTGAATTTGTTNTTATTAGCAGTTCTTCCGACGTCTGATTTCTTTTTAATTATAGGAACTGCGTTTTTCTAAGGTAAATAAACTTTTCGGATTGACTGTATAGCCAATACATCCTTAATGTTGTATGAGCCGTACGATAGCTATCGATTAAACTATTATAATTAAGTCAAGTCAATTTCTGGGCCAATAGGTTGAAATAAAGCTATTATTCATTGTTTTTATTGAAGGGCTCATACAACCTTAAATCGCGCACATGATTGTCGCGAGATATTCGCGAAAAAAAATTAAACTTGTTAAAAACTGTTCATCTGAGTTACATGACTGATATACCACATGGGAAAGAATAATCGGTTTTGTAAAATTCTAATTGTTAGAGAAATCAGTGGGTCGAGTACGAATGATTTGTCTCGTTCCTGGAAACCCATTCAGAAACTCGATTAACGCGAACGAAAACAACGGCAGTAAATACGCAGTAAAAGACTGATTGGTTGGTTAACGTTAACAATCCCGATTAAGAAATAGTTAACCGGTGCAAAGTCCGGGGCGTCCGTTCGTAGTCCACTTAAGCAGCGATCTCGATTTAACACCGAAGGGAAAGTGGTGAAACCGAACGTGAAGCGAGTCGATCGACTTTCCGGCCGGTATCGTTGAAACCCCATTAAAACACGAGAAACGTAAAGGAGGCCCCGGCCGTAGCGCATTAATTTTCTTCCAACTGTCGTCGAGTGGCTCGAGCTTTAATAGCTTTCCGCGGTTCTATTTCAGAATCAAAAAGGACGTGTGATCTGGATTGTGAGAAACCAACACGGAATTTTAACGAGGCTTTAACAGCAGCTTGTAACTTTCAGTACATAATAGAAATCGCAATGAAAAAATACTTTGCTCTGCGTAAATTGTTACTAGAAGCAAAGATGAAAATGATTAAATCGTTTTGCATTGATGGAAAGCGAAGTTAAATGTACAGTTGGAGTTCTTCCACGGACTGAGAAGTAAGCAAAAGGGGAGAAATGCTTGCATTAATTCCGCGATCGCTTTCAAGGTATCGTTACGTAGCTGTAGGGAAACGTTCCCAGAGTAACTCAACCCGTAACCTTTGGATCAACGATACCGGTTGCGTACGATCGGCCGCGTGTCCTTGGAATAAAATCGTTGAAACGCGCCTGGAGGAAGGCTTGATTACGCGCATACCACGAAAATTATACGTCCCGGTAGCATTTTCGCAAGAAACGACACTTTTTCCTGAATCACTGCCCCGTTTCCGGTGACGTGACCGTCGCGACGTGAATACGAAACGAGAACGCGAGAGAACGCGATGCAAATAACTGAGCTCGTTTCAATCGCAACTAGTTACCCCCACGTGCTACGCCGTAACTAATTTCCTTATTACGGTTACTGTTATTTAATCGGCACCCATTTTGCTCGCGGGAAGGCTGCGTTCAACGCGTTCCGCAATAAGCCTCGAACGGTGCGTTGCTCCTCGTTGAATAGTAATCCGGGATTTTTCGTTTCCCTTCGCGCGGACTCGCGATGGGGCAGGTATAACAGTATCGCGGAGTCCTTGTGTTCACGCTAATATCTATAAACGTAACAGGGAACGAGGAAAGGGTTGGATCCGGACAATTCCTCGACACTTCGTAGCTCACGTTTTCTAAGTAAACTAAAATAATCGTAGAGCATCAAATAAAAAGAGACTCTACTGACCGAAGACACAACGTCTTTGTAACATTAATCAGTGGCTCATTCATTAAATGATATTTATGAGTGATCAGAATGAAGACGATTTGCAGCGAATCGATTTATGGAGATTGGAACGACTTGAATACATGGTAGAAATTGACACTATTTTAGTGCTACCTGCTTAGCAAGTCTACGGTACACGTGCTCGTTCCACGAATCTACCGCAAATTCCCACATCCCGATGACGTTAGATCATCATCGGTTTCTACTCAGTACATTCTCGAGGCTACTAGCTTTACATTAAACACGGTACTGTTACAAGACTGCAAATATAATTTATCTAACCGTGTCAAAAGTAATTAATTGAACTGAAAAATTGAAATTGATAGTTCCCAGAGTAACTCAACCCGTAACCTTTGGATCAACGATACCGGTTGCGTACGATCGGCCGCGTGTCCTTGGAATAAAATCGTTGAAACGCGCCTGGAGGAAGGCTTGATTACGCGCATACCACGAAAATTATACGTCCCGGTAGCATTTTCGCAAGAAACGACACTTTTTCCTGAATCACTGCCCCGTTTCCGGTGACGTGACCGTCGCGACGTGAATACGAAACGAGAACGCGAGAGAACGCGATGCAAATAACTGAGCTCGTTTCAATCGCAACTAGTTACCCCCACGTGCTACGCCGTAACTAATTTCCTTATTACGGTTACTGTTATTTAATCGGCACCCATTTTGCTCGCGGGAAGGCTGCGTTCAACGCGTTCCGCAATAAGCCTCGAACGGTGCGTTGCTCCTCGTTGAATAGTAATCCGGGATTTTTCGTTTCCCTTCGCGCGGACTCGCGATGGGGCAGGTATAACAGTATCGCGGAGTCCTTGTGTTCACGCTAATATCTATAAACGTAACAGGGAACGAGGAAAGGGTTGGATCCGGACAATTCCTCGACACTTCGTAGCTCACGTTTTCTAAGTAAACTAAAATAATCGTAGAGCATCAAATAAAAAGAGACTCTACTGACCGAAGACACAACGTCTTTGTAACATTAATCAGTGGCTCATTCATTAAATGATATTTATGAGTGATCAGAATGAAGACGATTTGCAGCGAATCGATTTATGGAGATTGGAACGACTTGAATACATGGTAGAAATTGACACTATTTTAGTGCTACCTGCTTAGCAAGTCTACGGTACACGTGCTCGTTCCACGAATCTACCGCAAATTCCCACATCCCGATGACGTTAGATCATCATCGGTTTCTACTCAGTACATTCTCGAGGCTACTAGCTTTACATTAAACACGGTACTGTTACAAGACTGCAAATATAATTTATCTAACCGTGTCAAAAGTAATTAATTGAACTGAAAAATTGAAATTGATATCGGAAATAGGGTGTAAAATTAGAGCATTGATTTTACATACAACCGTTATGGACAAATGATTTTTATAATATTAATTTACTAATTAGTAGATATTTGTGCAAAATGAATCATTTATCAAACCGGTTAAAGAAACGCGTTCTAGATTTCTTTTCTTATCTAATCGTAAGCATTTCCGGACATAAGTTTATATGAACTTTTCTCAACTATTTGACCTCGATCATACTTAGAGGTAGAGTAAGTTTAATCCTAACGTTTCTGAACACCCTGTATGTGCCTTTATATTTTCTGCACATTTCATTTTCCTTCAAATCCGTAGCCTATTGATTGCTATGATAAGAAATCTCTTACCAGGACGGATAAACTCCTCGCGGTGACGCTCCACCGGCTCGGATCTGCTCGTTGACGTAACCGCTTCTGGGCACGTTGAGAGCGCTCCTGATGCCCACGCTGGACCCATCCAAAGTCCCCGGGCCCGGTTTAGGAACATGACTGCTGCAATAGACTTCCTTGTCGTTGATCGTGTGCTGATTGTTGTAGTAGGTCTTCAGGGTCAGCTTGGTCCCGCAGATCGCACACTTGAAGCAGCCCGCGTGAAAGAACGTGAAGTCTTTCAGCGGACCTACCCTGTCCACCTGATACACCGTCTGGTTGCACCTGAGGCACGTGCTTTCGTAGAAATTCGGTCGATACATCCTTCCCGCTCGTCGAGCTTCGCTTGAGCCACCGTCTACCGAGTCGATTATGCTTAATCGTGTCCTCAGAACCCACTGTATCTTGCCGTGGCAGCATGCGTCCTTGATAAAAGATCGCCAAGTTGTAATGGACACGTACAGACAATAAATCAATTCGGAATTCTACCGGCCAATGGTTAATTGTACGATACGTTATTCAATTATCGTTCGCTGATTTTGCCACGAAGCATTGTGATTATAAAATGAGTTACGGGTGAATAAACAGGATTGGATTTATCATTTGTATTAGTTCAACGATATAATCCGGTAAAATGCGCGGTTTAATTGGCGGTAATTACCGTAATGCAAAAGACGCGTGCGCGCGTGAATCAGACCGAGGCCGTTTCTTAACTCCCAATAATTATATCCCCAGGATGTTTGAGAAAGAGAGAGGAGAAAAACAAACGGCGAAGCGTACAAGAAAACATCGGGGCGATAGCATCGCGATCATGCGAAGCTCGAGATTGAAAAATTGATAAACCAAAACGAACGAGTGACCGAGCCGCCGACACTTCCCTGCTGCCTTTTGCAACGCGGATCCCGTTGCCAATACTTTTCACAGTGGACGAATGGGTAATTGCAACAGATTTGGCGGGTGCACGTATGTGGTTTCGAACACGAGGATTTTCACACGCGAGAAACGATACGCTCGTTTAGCGTTACAATCGCTTCTTGGAAATCGCATTTCTTTTTATTCTCTGCTTCCTTTTTACAGTTTTCTATGCTCTGTTCTAGTTGTGGCGAAATAACAATAACAAAAGATTAGAAAACGTGCTAGACTGAAATTTATTATTTCTCAGAAAATTTGAAGAATTTCGTCAGAATTTTTTTTACTATGATCCGAGGTTTCCCTTTTCTCTTTACAATTCCTTATGCAAAGTACGTCGAATTCTCTTTCCCGCAGACCACAATGGCGATTACGTCACACAGTTAGCGACCATGCACAACAATACCGTAATAAACAGAGTACAGTCGAGCGTGTCACGCATCACCGAATCCGCGGTGCTTTCCGCTCGTCGCGACACGCACTGATTCGTTTTTTCAGCCGCCTTTCAGAACCGCGATCCTTCCCCCGAGACGAAAATTCCCGATGAAGATGGACGCGCTGGAAAGTTCTTCTTCCGGAGAACGAGCACGCCTCGCGTTGGAGAAAGCATTTCGCCGCGATACTTCATTACGATCGATGGATTTATGCTCGCGTCGAGTCTTACGACTGACACGGAATTCATACGCTGACCCTTTCATGTATCTCGTAATTAAGCAAAATTATTTGTCTCGTACGGTGTTTATCAATTTGCAATTGAAGTGTATCGTTGCAGGTACGCGGAAGTCGTTACTTAGTACGCAGCTGAACGTTCGTTAAATTAACCGAGAAGCGGCCAACATTTGTATCTCATGTTCGACGGTAACAGTCGTAAACGTTTGCGGATGATCGTAAATTACATGTGCATTTCTTCCTTTTTTCCCTCGGCATATCGCGTCTTGTTTACAAAAACCCGGCTCGACGTACGCTTTTTCGTAATCGCGAGAGATCTCGCCGCGGTCGGCTAGAGACCAGCGCAGGGACTACGCGCGCATTTTAATCACGCGTTGCGCAACGTTCAAAGAGGAAATCGGTAACGAGTAAAATGCGACACTTCCAATTAAGTATACAAGTACTCCCCGGTTGCCATTCATCGTTTGACGCGTGCGTAATCGCCAATTTCAACACAGATGCCTGTGCATACACGTTCTTCTCTGTACCAATCGTTCGACAATCTAAACTTCGCAATCGAACGCCAGGATAGAAATACATACGGCCGAGCATATGTGCAGTCGAAACGGATGTTAAATTAACTCACTCCAACTTCTTTAATATCCGTCCAAACAATATATTTTTCTATGGGATGGAAGAAGACTTACAATTAATTTACTATGCAATTTTTATTGGTCGAAATCGAGAAGAAACAGTAAACATTGTATTTATCAATTTTTCTATTGGGATCTCTAATAATTTGAAACATATCGTTTGTAAATCTGCGTAAGTAACTAATACATATGCATGATATAAAGTACAAATAGGTAGCTGAGCTGGAAGAGATTCAGAATTAAGAAAATCTCAGGCTTTCACAACTTTTAGTCTACAACTCAGATAAATTGAAGAATATTTAATGTTTCGTTGTTTCTAACTTTTTAATGCTTCCACTAATTTTGATAAGACTTTATCTATGCATATAATTTACTTAGATCGACAAATGGAATATATCAAATTTTTATTAGAGATTCCAATAAAAAAAAGTGAAGAAACAGGACGTTCACTTTTCTCTTGCTTCGACGAATAAAAATTGTTCACTTACTTTTACATATTGCATAGTAAACTAAATCTTCATATATCTCATAGAATATAATAAAAAAAGTTATTCGATTTTGGAGTGCTTAACATTCGACTCTACATCGTAGGATGTCTCACGCCGGTCGCAAAATACACGACGTCACACATGTGAAAATTATTTATTGAATTCCCCGTGTCGTTTATCATTCGATAATGCCTGCTTGAATACCCGGTGTGTCCCCATTCTTGCCCACCTTCTCTTAGGTATTTACGCTGGTCGCGCACACGTATCTAGGTACGTGCATTGGCCACGCACGCGTGCGCACGCGTTTCACAGACACAGACGTGCTCGGGTATACGTAATTCTGTGTATTTTAAAGGAAACAAGAAACATTATCGAGGTGAATCGATGGGCACGCGACTCTCGATTCCGTTCGACGCGGATACGACGAGCTAACGGCTTATCGTTCGAGAAGCCGCGTTATTTCCGCGTTTGCGACAGTTTGTCTGGTTACTTAACGCGCGCGAAAGTACCGGTGAATAGCAGGCATTCCATTGAACGGGCACGTCCAAGTGGCCTGGTACACGTTCCACGGGTTTTACTTGATCTCCTTCTGTCCCCCAACCGATTCCAATTATCCTTTGCGCGAGAATCATATTCGATATTCAGTTCGATGGAACACGTGTGTCCATCGACACCATTAGACTTCGCGCAACGAGTTTTGCGTTACAAAATAAGCGAACGAGATATGTTATAAAATTATCGGGCGCGGTGCGATTGGACCGGTCGCTCCGGCTGCAAGACAATCGGCTGCAGGATGAAAAAAGCCGAGTTCACCAGCAAGGCCAGATACCCCCCTTGCCCCGCGAACGACCCGGAACGATATATATCAACGTGCATACTCACGTTCTCATGCTTCCATGTCCACCAGCGTGGTCCACAAGAAACCTCGACGCACGTTCCGCTGCATCTCTTCTTCACTGGTCCCCTTTTACCCTCGACACGATTTACTTTCTATCTTAATAAATATGCCGTGCTCCGTTTACCATCGACGAACTTCGACACTGTTGAAAATCGCGCACGATATCGCGAAACGAGTTCCGCTGCGTTCCGACTGCGTCGCGTCCTCGACGAGCATTAAAATCACCGGGTGCCCGACAATCACGGACGCACTCGGACAGAACCTCGGCGATTCCGGAAACAGGTCCACCTGTCAGCTAACCGGGACGTATCCAAACAGTTCTGAATAGATCGACGCCTCGTGACGTTTCAACTCCGGGTTCCCGACGGATCAGCACCAGACGTATAGCCGCGACTCGACCTTCCCGTCGACTGAACGTCTTCTGGCACGGTTCTTTTTCGGTAGGTGTCCGCCACCTGGAATGAGGTCTCGCCACCAACCGAGGCGGCCACGCGAGAGGTCGAACCTGAATATATCGCCACCTGCCTCCTTCGACGTTCCAGGAAGATCTGAGGTGAGAGGGACGGCCATTTTGAGGGACCGCCGTACGGCACTCAGGTGGCGCTATCGTTTGGAGAACTCACTCTTTTACCTGCGTTCGCCTGGTATTCCTCACCTGCGACGACCCGTGCTTGTTGCCTTCTTTATCTGTTTCTTCTCTTATTTTCATTATTAATCTCACTTGGAGAGCTTTAGATATGTCTTTTACTTATAAGATTATCAACAGTCTTATACCTTGCCCTGACCTAATCCCTAAAATTAACGTTCCGGATAAAATCTTGAGAAAAAACGAAGTACTTCTTATTGAACGTTACTGCACTTTGTACGGATATTACAATGCGATAAATCGAATAGTCGTTCATGCCAATTTTTCTCATTGTAAGGCAGATATTTGCTTTAAATCTGTGTCGAACATCAATTATATCATACTTATTCTTTTATGTACTTACAATAGTATTATGTCATTCAGTTTTTATTATTTTCATTGTTACATTCCATTGTTACATTTTATATACGTTATCCTAATTTTATATTTTATATTTAGTTTCCACTTTGTTCTTACTTCTTACTGTATGCCAATGGGTTTAACAAACCAGTATATTAATAATAAATAAATGAATATTTATTGCAGATGTTAAATAAAAATGACCACGTTCTTATTTTTATCAACTAATTGAACAATTGATGTTTGTTCTTCTTGAGAGGAAAACAATTTCTTTGAAAATGATTAATCGTGTGGGTGGATAGATGATTGTCCCAGGATCTGACAGTTTCTCGCTTTTGCTGGAACGTGGTTCACTACTTTCATTCAATCAGCTGATCGATACGTGATGAAAAAAGAAAGCGGAGACCACACCTCGGCTGTGTTTACCAAGATTGGTGGTCACTGTTTTAGAATTTACGCACTGATCACTCTTAATCGCTCGTGCATGATTCACACGATTCTTCTCCTTTTCTTCTTCATATTATTATTATTAATTAATATAACCAAAGTAAGAATTAAATATAAAATATAAAAGTAAGATAATACGCAGAGTCGTGAAAAATGTTGAATTTAATTTTATGATATAAAGACCAAATCTGTGGAAGAATATTCTACATATACTTGGTTTACCAATAAAATATTTTTAGAGTATTGGAATAATGAATATGTACGCCCTCGTGGGCTTTAATATTTCTTTGCAGGCAGCTTCTCTACCTGTCGCTCGGACGTCATTTTTCGCCTACTTTTTAACAACCAACTTTCACTGACGCATTCGGAACACCGTTCGACGGAACGCAGTCTGACTCAAGTAGGCGCTAACTGTTCATTTTGCGAAGACAATAAGCTGGTGACGAGAGCTGTTCAATTGTATCGTTAACAGGTGTGTCAAAGAATAAAACAATTGAATTGGAATATAGTACAGAACGTAAAGGACAAAATGAAATCACTCATTCAATGACACTAAGTCTACCAAGGGGGGTCAAAATAACTTGTTTAGCATTTCTTATAATCATTATTTATTTTCAGTACATTTCGT